CCGAGTAAAGCAGCTGAAACATGGAAGAAATCAACTTTCGTTCAACTGGTCGTAAGGGTCTGCTATGGTAGCTTTAATTCGAAGTCGACGTCACTTTTTAAGAAGAAATACCGTGAGCACAACGAGAGAGTACAAGCTGTTATTCCGAAGGAAAGACTGCTGATCTACAACGTGAAACAAGGTTGGAAACCTTTGTGCAAGTTTCTTGAATGTGACATGCCTGAAGAAGAATTTCCAAGGGAAAATGTCGCATTATCTACCACCCACCAAGCAATTTCAGCCGAACTTGAAAAAGTAAAACGGAAGTTATTTATCGTGCTGGCGATTTGTGCGCTTCTTGCATGTCTATTTTATTTAGTGTTTTTTCATAGGAGCGATAACGATTTTTGAAACTTAGAATTGAATTGACGCGAATTAGTCGAACGTTTTTATGATTTTTTCAACCTAGATATAGTAATCATGATGTGAGTGAAGTTCCTCTTGTAACTTAAATTGTGCAACATATATTTGTTCGAGAACTGTGCTTCAGGCAAAGTGACTCAGTTGTCTTGGACAAACGATACCGATGTACACGTGGCATTTTGAATAAATAAGTAAGTAACAACTTTATTTAAAGAGGGTGGCACATAACGGTATAACTGATAAACTAGTGGTCCTCTATCTAAAATTAATATTAAATTACTAAGATACATCCAGGATATATTTCAAAATAAGAATATCATTAAAATTTTAAAATTTTAAAATATTTAAAACTTAAGAATTTAAAAATATGCAAAATATGTAAAAAACTTTAAAAACGAGGAGAGATATGTACATAAGGAAGGAAACTGGGATTTAAAGGGCGATAAGACACTAATTAATCGAATTAAGCTAAGTATTTCTGGATAACAAATATTTTCGGACAGAATATTTAAAAGCGCAAATGGACTCTTTCTTGCGAATATCTAAAGGAATGCTGTTCCAAAGTTTGGCTCCACTGACTTGAAAGGATCTACCCCCTTCTGCTTCTCTATTGTAGGAGGGACACACCAAGTTGTAATTATGACGGTCCGAGTTCTTAGTTAATAGTTTCGTTATATAACTTGGACAGCTGTTTTCATCGTCGTGATACTTTTTTACAAATGTCATCGATATGTTCGGTAAAATTCAAGTGACTGTCTAGTCTCACTCCAAGTAGTTTCTGTGAATTGACTTGCTCAATCTCGCTACTGTTACATGATATTTGAGAGCCGTATCTAAGGCTTTCTTCTCCAGGCGTTTTCCAGTTACAAGCAGACTTTTCGTTTTAGAGGCATTAAGTACCATCTTATTGCCATATGTCCAGTCAGCAATCTTGTTTATGTCATGTTGCAGCCGCTGCTGAATTGTAGGTAGATCTGAAACCGCAGCAGAAGTACTTAAAGTGGTGTCGTCTGCGTAAATGTCTAAAATTGACCGGGAGACTGACTGGGGGAGATCATTCGTAAAGATGATAAATAATAGTGGCCCCAGCACCGATCCCTAAGGAACACCGTGTGTGATCAGTCTGTATTCTGACTGCACTCCATCAGTATAATAACAACTGCGCTCCTTCTACCCTTTAAGTAGTTCGTTAGGAGGAGGAGTTCTCTGGATGTTACGCCGTATGCCTTAAGCTTGGACGGGAGTATGTCATGGTCAATTAAGTCAAACGCCTTCTTGTAATCGACAAGTACAAGCCCACTGATTTCGTCATGGTCCAAGTCTGACAATAATTGATCCGTCAGACATATGAGCGCTGTTTCTGTGGAATGGGATTTTCGGAACCCGGACTGCAAATTATATAACCATTTGTTATTTCTCATATAGCTCTACCCTTTAAGTAGTTCGTTAGGAGGAGGAGTTCTCTGGATGTTACGCCGTATGCCTTAAGCTTGGACGGGAGTATGTCATGGTCAATTAAGGCAGTGTTCACACTTGGTGCCCGGGCACTAGTACCCGGGCACCGGCACAAAATGGTGCTGTGTTTTTGTGGGTAATGTGCCAGGGCACCAACGAAAAATGTGTTCACACAAGGACTCAGTGCCCAGTTTAGTGCCCGAATTCTGGCGTGGGTACCAGGAAAAAAGGTGTGTTCACATTGGTGCCTGGCGTAGAATAGAACCCGGGCACGGTGCCCGGGCACCAAGTGTGAACACTGCCTAAGTCAAACGCCTTCTTGTAATCGACAAGTACAAGCCCACTGATTTCGTCATGGTCCAAGTCTGACAATAATTGATCCGTCAGACATATGAGCGCTGTTTCTGTGGAATGGGATTTTCGGAACCCGGACTGCAAATTATATAACCATTTGTTATTTCTCATATAGCTCTACAGGGCTTGGTGGATATGCTTTTCAAAGATTTTCGAGAGTATAGGGAGCACTGAGATTAGGCTACAATTGTTCTTGTCATCTTTGCCTCTTCGCCCCTTGTAAATGGGCGTAACTTTGGCAGTTTCCCACACTGAAGGGAAAGTACCTGTATCAATGCAGTGATTTATCAGTCGACTCAGCGGCAAGGAGATTGCAGGGGCAGCTATTTTCAGTATCCTTGCGACAAGTCCATCAGATCCGGTAGCCTTGTGGGATAGCATGTGTCTCAGCAGCTCCTCAATCTTTTGCGGTGTGATATGTGGGATAGTGAACTGCGCCATGTTAACGCCGTTTGTGAGGTCCTTTATGTACTTGCAAGGAAACTGTGAGGTTGTATTTGATGGTAGATTTCGCAGCAATTCTAAGGGTTGCTTCACAAACCAAAGGTTAAGGCGCTCTGCAATGTAGAATGTACTTGTGATCACTTCGGCTCCTTCCTTCAGTTGATGTATAGAAACACGGTTGTTCACATTCTGTCAAGTTAGATTCCTGATAAGGCTCCACGATCTTTTAGGATTATGTTTATGTTCAGCAAATTGTTCTTGAAGTATTGCTCTTTGGCACTCCTAATTAACTTACAAACCTCATTCTTAGCGCGTTTGAAAGTAGCCCAGTCAACAGGACTTTCAGAAATTCTAGCTTTCTTTAGCAGTTTGTCTCTTTTCTTCATGGCTTCGTTAATTTCTGTAGTGATCCAATTTGGCTGGTTTCTTTTTTTTCACTCTTTTCTCTTTCACAGGTATCTGAGAATCAAGAACGACAGTAAAAATTTGTATCAGCTGTCAACAATATCATCAGTGTCCTCGAAAGCACTGTCCCATGGGGCATCACTCAACTCATCTACAAATTTTTGGGCATCTAGGCGTTTCATGTCTCGGTAGGAAAAGGTGTTATCACATTTTTGCTTTGCGAAGTCTGACCTCTGTAGCGTCGAACCGCCATTGTTGGAAGGTGATCCGACATTCCGATATTCTTTGTTTGTATACACGTACGAAAATGGTAGTGTCGTTTGCCAATATTTTCATGGCGGAAATTGAAACAAAATTAAACCAACAAAGCGAAACCAAGCCTAGAGAATAGAAACGTTACATAGTTGACGTTTTCACCTTTTGGGATTGCGACACAAAAGAGGTAGATCGGTTTATTAAACGAGCTAACTATTTTCACCCTACTATCAGATTCACGGCCGAAATATCAGAGAACCAAATCACTCTCCTCGATGCCACAGTGTTTAAGTGAGAAAGATTCGCAAGAGATTCCATCTTGGACATCAAAACCTATTACAAGGCGACCGAGACCATCCAATTTACGCTACCGTGCTACCCACCAGGCGTTAAATATGGTTTCATTAAGGGCGAAGCAATAAGATTGCCTGTCCGCGGCCTGGCAATTGATTAGTGTACAAACTTTGTTCGAACCAAGTCCTCCTTTTGCCACAATTTTGGCATTGACAAAAGCTGTTTATTCTAACCCCTCTGCATTCTACGCCACACTGCTTTTTTACCGCAATTCTCGACAACTACACAACAGTAGGCACATGCAGACAGAGACTGCCTTTAATTTGAATTCAAGTGTTTTCTATAGTATGTCTCTATGTTTCGCATGCCTCGTACGTCTCGCATCAAGAGTCACGCGTACTGGTGACACTTATTAATGACATGCTGTGGGGTGGGTGGGGGGGGGGGAAGGAGAGAAGGAAGAAAGGAGAGGAAAGAGAGAGGGGAGAAGAGGCACTAACAGCTGTTAGGGAGACTCACAGCCACATGACTCGGTGTACGTAGAGTAACAAATTATGGTTTTGATCCAAGCCTTCAAGGCTTCTGTGGGTTTGTGGAATCATTGGAACCTACTTATGTAAAATTTATCAGCTACTGATGTTAGGGCTTAAATATATTTACATTCCAGGCAGAATAAACATCGACATTATAATTTTGTATAGGAGATTGAGTAAAAGGAAACGAATCCATTGAAAGATACAGCCCTTTTCATTGTGGTGATCAAACACACAAACCCTTGAGAGTGATGAGTAAGGAGGTGATCGTCACAGGTGACCTTCGATTAATGAAATTGTCAACAAAAAAAAGTGCCCGCCCAAGATGAGATGGATTAAAGTTACGCCAAGAAGCCATTGCAGGGAGGAGGGGGGAGGGGGGGAGGGTAGGGAGGAGAAGGCAATCGGCTGGGCTGCCCTGTTACGTTGGGAGTATAAACAAAAAAATTCAAAGAGGGTTAAAGGGGAAAAATCCTAGGCGGGTTGTTCAAAGCACGTTTAAGCAAGCCGGGGGATGGAGTGAAAATGTAATAATGATGAGGAATTTAAATATATGGTGAGGAATTTGAATAGCACATTGTTCATACTAATATGCTCTAATGCGCTTTACAACACTTTGCGGGAGACCTTGGCTAGACTGCACTGGGCAGTTTACGATTTTGTAAGGAATTTTGCAGGTACCCAGATGTGATGTTTAGCTTCTGCCTCTTGGTAACATAAATCTTCACCATGTTAGCTCTGCTATTCGTTTGTACTCAGCGAAAAACCAAATCAAGGTTACATTTAACACCTGATTAGCACTATCCTCCTTTAGAATAACTCTCTTCATAGTACTCACTCGTTTGTGTTCATTGGCAGGTTAGGGTCCATGCCCCACCTAGTGATTTTGACCGTTTGGAGTATGCACTGGATACTGGTGTTAAAGTGCTGTCTTTTTATGAGAAGTTGTTCGGAGAGCCCTTCCCTCTCCCCAAACTCGGTGAGTCAAGCAGCTACCATCAAGGTTCCCAGGCAGGAGCGAGTTTCGAAGTGAAACGCTCTTTTCGAACGAAACCGAAAAAACACTCAGTGTGCCTGTTTCATTTCCTGAATAACATCGACTTTCACTTAAATCGCCGGGCGTAAAATTTTCCTTCCACAGTTACATCATCATTGCACAGAAGCGTCACATATGGAAATTCCTATCTTAGCAGTATGCAGAAATTTTGTCACCATAGACTTAGTTAAAGGGCCAGCCTGACACGAGTCTCCTATAGCACGACGGTAGAGCATCCGAAGTACTGATCGCAAGTCGTACGTTGTCTACGTGCGACTGCTATGGGAGCACTCGGAGTTCTTTTTTCTGAGGATGCCTGTGTCATTTCGGCTTTATAAGATCGACTTTCACTTAAATCGCCAGGTTTAAAATTTTTCTTCCACACTTACATCATCATCGCACTGAAGCCTATCCTAATAATCGGAAGGTCGTACGTTGTCTACGTTCGACTGTTATAGGAGCACTCAGAGTTCTTTTTCCCGAGTATGCCTCTGTCATTCACTGAATAACCCTCGTTGTTCACTGAAACCGAACTATCTTTTACGTGTTTTTTGTCTCTTTATTCCAGATCTGCTGGCTGTTCCCGACTTCCTTAATGGTGCAATGGAAGAGTGGGGCCTAGTAGTATTCCGACGTGCTCTACTTGTGTATGATGAACAATTTACTTCGACTGATGCCAAAGTGAAAATGACTAAGGTTATAGCGCACGAGTTAGCTCATCAGGTGAGTCCCCTCTACCAATCAATCGGGATCTTTTTCCAGTTTGGTCAATTGGTTTAAGAAGCCTTTAACCCTTTGACCCCTAAGAGTGACCAGCTTCTAATTTCTCCTTACAATATCATCACTCATTAAGGTCACGAGAATGAAGGAAATGATCACCAACTAAAGAAACATTTGATTGTTTAACAAATTCTCCTTGTCAGCACCTAGGAAATGTACAGAGAACAGAATGGAGAATATATATACTGACATTAGAGTGTGAAGGGTTACGGCTGGCTTCCTCTAGTTCATTACCATTGTCACATTCGCCGAAAAAAACGTAACCAACGAGTGGTTTTTCAGTTGAATGTTACAAGTCTGCTTCGTGAAAACTGATTGTTCAGTTCTGCCGTGGCTTTTTGGGCTGTAAGAATCAAACAAGTAGCGACGGTCATTAACATTCAACTGACGAACAACTTCTCGCTTGCTTCTGATGATGACTTCGGCGCAGGTTGTCAGAAAGTTAAAGGGGTAAACTTCTAAGGAAGCTGTGGTGCTGCGTCGGTCAGGGGGTATTACAAGATAATCCCTCTTTGGACCTGTGCTCAATGCTCTGACGAAGGACTAACGTTAGGTTGAGACTCTCTTTACGGCAGCCAATTTACGCTAACAACTCACTTGATTAAACCAATGGTCTTTTGAATGGTCAGTCTCGGTCATCAATAAACAGTCATTCTCAGGAATAACAGGGTAATTTGGTATTATCAACTGAGTTGATAACGTAAATTGGCCACCGTAAAGAGTTTAAAAACTGAGGTTTCGAGCGTTAGCTCTTCGTCATCGCTCTGACGAAAAGTTAACGCCCAAAACGTCAGCCTTTAAACTCTTTACGGTGGCCAATTTACGTTATCAACTCAGTTTATACTACTAAATTACCTGATTATACTCTCCCACCGACGCAGCAGCACAGTTTCTTCAGAAACTTACCCCCCCTGTTCTCAGGAATACTCTTATCTTACCCGGGGGATCAGCCTACACGTTCGGCTGTTAATAACATGCTTTAACTATTTAATTGTTTCCAACATATTGCTTTTATTTTAAGTGGTTCGGCAACCTGGTTACACCGAGATGGTGGAACGACTTGTGGTTGAACGAGGGATTCGCCGTCTTTGTCGAGGATGAATTTGGAGCTAATTATGTGATGAATGGCTGGGATATGGTAAATTATGTCTAACATGATGGAGCTCAACCGTTCTATGTCTTTGTATTTTCCGCCTAACCAATCTGTGAAGATCATTGGGTGCTGAAAAGACAACGATATCGCTTGTGATCCTTCGGTGGCCACGCAATTCCAACGTCCCTAATTACCCGATTCATTTCTAATTGTTATCGGCTATTGCTGTCGATTTTAATCGATATCTAGGGTCTCATCTGGCTTGTAACTAGACGTGGGCCGAGAAAAAGTCAAAACTTGTAAGGGTTGTTGTGAAAAAGAAAATCAATCTTACTGAAAAACGACCTGTGAACATCGATGACAATCGAAAAACAACCGTTAAATATCTTTGATGACTGGGGAATCAATCTTATCAATAGCCTTGGAAATGTATCTGTTAGATTGATCATTGATTCCGAAAAATTGTATCAATGGTCGAAGAAGCAGTTAAAAGATGGGTTGTGGAACACAAGTTCGTTTTGATCTTTTTCTGTTTTGTTTTTATTTCAGCGTGAAACAGTTGTATCTACCAGCTGGAAGTCTGCCTTACACGGTGACTCCATGTGGTCTTCACATCCAATCAGCGTTGAAGTTCAGAAACCGGAAGAGATTGATGACATATTTGACGCCATATCCTACCAGAAGGTATTCAAGGATATTTTTAGCTGCGGATTAAAGTCATTTTATTGTGAGGTCATTTCCCTTAAGAAGGAGAATTCCTAAATAAGGAGGATGGGCATACTGCAAGATACCCAGGAAACCCAGGAAACCCAGGAAACCCAGGAAACCCAGGAAACCCGGGAAACCCAGGATACCTAGAATACTCAGGATACTCAGATTAGCTCCTTTTCCTTTTTTTTTTCTTTATTTTTAGAGAGCTGCCCCTTAGGGGGGAGGGGAAGTGGAGGGGGAGACTCTCTTATCCGACCTAAAATTTGAATAGTTAGCTATTTGCGTCTTGAACAGAATGTCTTTTCAGCGGGAAGACTTGATCAGGGTGTAAACTTCACGTTACCCAATCTACCTGAGTGGCACTAACAGTTGTTTTTAGTCTCATGATAAAATTTGTCTGAATATGCAACACAAAGTCAACTCTCCGTTTATACAATCTAGTGTCTTAAACAGAGGAGCTAAATCAGGGTCGCGGGAAAGTTTTTGCATTTGTAACAGCATTTCGAAAGTCAGCACTAATTAATTGTTCGTTGAGATATTTATCTGTCTTTTTTTTTTCGGTAGGGTGCGATGATTCTCCGTATGCTGATGAACTATCTTGGTGTGGAAAAGTTCTTGAATGGAATCAAGGTAAACTTGTCAGGGACTCCAGTTTCCCAAACGTAGTTGCCATACATAAGCTCGAAATTAGGCCTAAATCACCCTTTTTTCGAGAATACTTGGCAAGTAAGTGGACGATCACATGGAAACTTACCAAAAGCATAGGCTACTCAGGGTTGGGGGGAGGGGGGTGGGGTCCTGGGGTAGTGTTTCCCCTTCATTTTGTGAGATGGTTCCTTTTTGAAAGTAAACCATACTAAGGTTAGTAAACTTGCCCAAAGCAATAACGGATTATCAGATAGCTGGTTTAACATTACCCTTAAGCGAATGGAACAACTCATTTCCTTGAATGGACATCTTTTAATAGGGCTACTTAGAGACCTACAAATACGGAAACGCTGACGCAGAGGAATTGTGGGATGCCATTGGCGAGGTTAGCTTGTCATATGCTGTTCATAGTTTTATCAATGAAATGGATGTGGAAAAAGTTATTTTGACAATTAATGTGCCCATTAAACTCAGTTGGTTTTCCATACTCAATTCGCGGGATAGTTTTGTCACCTTACTTTTGGAAATGCCGTTCCACAGAAACTATGCGGTATGAACACTCTGGGCGATGGGCCCCATTTGCATCGTTGGGGTTCTCATCTTTGCCATCAGCCGACCACTCGTTGCGCTTTTAAACTACGCACTTAAGGGCCAAAGCTCACATTTCATTCTGCAGAGAGACGCTTTCAGTATTCATTAATTGTGAATTATATTTGTGGTGAGAACGAATTCTTTTGGAAGTGACATGTACAGTGGCCCCGAAATCTGAGCTGCGCGCTACGATCCAACTGCAAGGGAAGACTGTTCTTCTCCAGGCTTTCCTTCAGTAGCATCTGGGCTCTGAGTGAGATTGAATGATAAATTTGACCTAAAGATACAAGTACTGTTAAGATTCCAAGGTGCGCCATCTGTGTTTAAAATCAACTATGTCACCTCATAATTTTGCCAAGTTAAAACTGTGTTTGTTGTTTAATACGCCCTTAGGCCAGCGGCGATATCAACGTCAAGAAAATGATGAGAGTGTGGACGGACCAGAAAGGATTCCCAATCGTCAGCATTCGAAGAAAAGGACGCGTGTTTCATATTGAACAGGAAGACGTCCTTGACAAGCTGATGAAAGACAAGAAACAAGCGCAAAACAGGTAATTTGTCTTTTACCCAGGCAAAGGCTTTGACCGTCCTCTTTTAGCCTTTTAACTCCCAGACGTGACTAACATTTATCTTCTCCCTATAATATGCATACGCTCTCCAACAAACAGGTAATGAGAATGCTTAAACTTATCAAGTTGAAGCTTTAATTTGTTTGGATCTAACACCAAACTCTTGTGACTAATTTACAAGGAAATGTGTAGTGGCCAGAGGGGAAAATTCACAATCAGATCCTGGCAGATAAAGGGATAAACAAGTATTTGTTGTCTAATCACAAAATAAGCCGTCATTATTTATCCATGAAAAATGGCACCGAAAGAAAGGTGAAATGTCTCGACAGACGATTAGCCCGATCTTAACACGTTCAGTTGTCGTAAATCTCCTGGAACCAATTACGATTTGATCACTCATATACAGGAATCCTTATGAAACGCCTAAGTTTACCCAGTAACTAAAATGCTCGAAATTCATATAGCTACTCTTAAATCTCTAGTAGATATTTGCTGCAAAGACTTATTACAAAACAGAAGACGAATATGGGATTGAGGTATTACCGAAACGTTTTTTTCCTATAGGAAGAGGTGGTACTTGCCAATATCTTATTTTACGGAGTCAGATCCAACAGTACGTTGGGTTACAATACCTCCACACACGCGTAAGTATGGAAATTTTTCCTTCCTTTTAGTTTTGTCCATCCCTCGCTTAGATAATTAGCCATTACCACTGTGCTTCTTAAGATGTGTACGATGTAGAAACATTTTAGAATCCAAATTATTCGCTGACAAGTTTAGAACTGTTGTTTGTTCTTCTGGTTTCCAGTCAGCGAGATTCGTGACAGTGGAAGGTGCACGAGTAGCCTAAGAGGTTGTTCTGAGCTCTCTTGCCGCTTTTTTTTTTTTGACCAATAAACATTCTATTTTTATAAGAGGCCCGAGTAACTAAAAAGACATACCGAGGCTGTCTAAAAAAAGATATTGAGGCAGTTGATCTTGGACAGTTCACAACTATCCACCGAAGTTTAGGTGGAGAGTGGTGGGTATGTACCGAGCTGCGAAGCTAAAACAGTGACGTGAGATAATAGAGCGCAAAAAGATGAATTGAACTCATTTGATCCTACAACAGTTACAATATTTTTGGGCATGAATCCCGTGCATGTTGGTGAATATGGGAAATTGGGGAGGGAAATTCGGAGTTTGAGTAGCCAATCAGAACGCAATCCACTGTTTTAGTATATACTAAAATACTTAAAAAAAATTTAAGATATACCGCTCTAGTCACCATAACTGCACCGCAGCAATCTCTGGATTTTTCTGAAAAAAACTGCTTGGTCTTTATACAACAACTCCTTCGTTCGTGAATAACTTGCGCTCCTAATGCTAACTGTTCGGTCATTTTTCGTCAGAATCTTACCCGTTAACAACAGTGTCTACTAGTGGCTGGATAATGGCTAATATCAACGCCACGGGGTTCTTTATGGTAAACTATGATGAGGAAAACTGGAAAAAACTTGCAGTACAGCTCAGAAAAGATCACCAGGTAAGATAGTGTTACTTCATTGTTACCGTTGTGAAATATTTTGAGGTTTTTATTTGTATGGTGTCAGAACGAATTATGGGGTGAGGAGTGGAGGAAGGGGGGGGGGGACAGTGGGTAGGCGAGGGAAGGCGGCGAATGTAACGGGGATCTCATCCCATCTCTACTTGTTTTGGAGACCAAGAGAATCTTTGGAAGGTTAAAATCAGTGTGGCAAGAGTGAAGCAATAAGGTAGGTTATTTACCTTTAAAATGTAATTTAGAAAAAATCTGAACAATTAGTTTAGTTGTGTTATCGTTGTGCACCATTTGCAGGTGTTTACTCCAAATGACCGAGCTGGTTTGATCCATGATGTTTTCACTCTTGCATGGTGAGTGATACCTGTTGGTATACTTGATACCATCATCATCATCAGGTCGAGCTTGCACGGCTTAGATACCAGAAGCTTTTAACCTAGTAGCTTATCACTCGTAGTTCCGTTGATATCTACTACTTGTATATAATACTTGTATGTTATTCTTCGTGGTACCATTTCGTTCTTTATGCAATTTTTTCATAGGTCGCTCTCGTGTTCTTTAGTGTTGTTTATGTATAAATTTTTTTTTTTGTAGTCAAGGTTTGCTTGACCCAGTCCTCGCTTTGAACCTGTCAACATACCTGGTGCAAGAAGAGCACCCAGTCCCTTGGGCGTTGGCGAGAGGTAAATCCAAGTGTCTCATGGGATTGCTCAGTAAAGCTCATAAACTTCTGTACAAGGTAACTTTTGCTAAGTCACGTTACACTGAATTGAACAATGCTGTCTTTTGATGCTACGACTATGTTTAAGGTAATAATATCAATTTTACAAATTGCGTGGGAAAGTGTTGGATAGTGTTCACGAATTTCCCCAAATAATAAAGACAGCGGTTTGATTTATTTGGCAGTAACTTTTTAAAAGTGTATCGGATGTCGGTTTCGAACGTAAAGCATGTGGGTGCGCTAAATTGTTCGATTGTGAATTACTTAGCTGTTTACCATCTGTATCATGTCGCTATCACAAACTGTGTCATTCCTTAGAATAGAATTCTTATTCCATTTTTTATTTCCATTTGTGAAATGTTCTGCAATTCTAAACTGCCTTCTTGCACTGAAAATTCTTACAAACATTCTTCACAATATTTGTTCCAGAATTACTTGTGGTCTCTTCAGGATCATCTTATCGACTTGGTTGGCATGGAAGATACAGGGAATGACCTGGAAAGGTGCTTTTTATTTCTTTTTTCTTTTTAAAGAAATATCTAAAACAAACTAAGAACTAAGAGCCTTGCTAATATGTATCAAAAGAACTCAAACCAAAGTAATCAGTGGGCACTCAAAGTACACTCATCCAAACAAATCCAAGCCCAAGAAAAAGCCATACTAAGTTTTATCATTTGTTTTGGCTTCGTATCTTATGAGATGAGAGAGAGGTAGTAAGTTTTTTATACCAATCAGGAAACGTGATGAGGAAAAGACAATGGTAGTCTTGGATTCCCTTCTGACCCATTGAATGTTCCTCAGTTCCTGTATTTATGTTTCAACAGCTAGAGCCTAACTCAAAATTCCTTTTTTTTTTTTTTGCGCAGATTTTTCAGATATGATGTGTTATCCGAGGCAATGAGGAGTGGTCAAAGGAAAGAGATTAGAGAGCGTTTTATTCGCTTGTTTAACGAGCTGAAGGAAACCCCTCTTGGAAGGTAACGACTCCGACGCACTCAAGGAAATTGTGAGGAAAAAAAAGCCGAAAAACAAAACGCAAAAATTTTCAACCTCCAGTCAAATAAAAAACTCCGCGTGCAGATAGAATGTCATTTCATGTTCTTCGTATTCGAAATAATTCGAAATATTTACGAATCACCCTTTTTGTATCTCAGCGCAAATGAAAACTTTAGGTTTCCTCCCCTAACCCTTTTCATCCGGATCGCGGAATATTCCGGGCGCGTGTTTGTTCGTTCATGTGAACGGATCCTGGAATATTCGGGCGCGCGTGTATTCGTTGATGTTAACGGATTCCGGAATATTCCGGGCGCGCGTGTGTTCGTTCATGTGGACGGATCGCGGAATATTCCGGTCACGCATGAGTTCGTTCATGTGAACGGATCCTGGAATATTCGGGCGCGCGTGTATTCGTTGATGTGAACGGATTCCGGAATATTCCGGGCGCGCGTGTGTTCGTTCGTGTGGGCGGATCCCGGAATATTCCGGGTGCACTTGTGTTCGTTCATGTGGACGGATCCTGGAATATTCCGGGCGCGCGTGTTGCACAGGTAGTCATAGATATTAGTTCTTGGAAAAAATATCAGTTATCCCGAACCGCAAAGGTATTCGCCGAGAAACCTTGTTTTCCCCCTGACTACTTGTCAATTTCTCGTCCTTCTGAATCGCTGAATTTTATTTTTTTTCTGTCTCCTCCCCTCCTCAGTCTTCCAAGTGTAGGTCCAAACTTCCGGTACCTGGCTTTCTCATTTGGGGTAAACAAGTCGAGTGAGGAGGACTGGCACTACCTCTGGTCCGTTTACCAACAGTCTCCTTTTGATACCGACCGGAAGTTCTTGATGAGAGTTATTACGTCATTCAATACGGAAAACATCAGATCAAGGTAACATTTTTTTTCAAGTATCCTTAAACTCGGAACTTTCTTCTTTGGGACTTAAGCATTATGGTCCACTACATCGTCTTTCACTCTAGTTTCAAACACTAAGGTTGCAATGTGCCGAATTAGAGAGTACCTCGCAAAACACAGATGGAGTGTTCCCTTACAGCATACACAAAGATAAAAGATTTTCTGAACCTAAATTGTTGAATACTAAAGAACTGACAACTTAATAGGAAATTTCCTGGTCGAAAACAGTCAGTCAGTTAGTCAGTGGATTCAGTCAGTGAGTTGGTCAGTCATTTAGTTAATCAGTTAGTCAGCCTAAGAGTTGTTTAGTCCGGTGATTCGTCAGTCTGTCAGTCAGACAGTCAGTCAACCATTCAGTCAGTCGCTTAGTAATTCATCAAGAATTTAGCCAGTTAATCATATAGTGAATCCGTCAGTCAGTCAGTCAGTCAGTCAGCCAGTCAGCCAGTCAGCCAGTCAGCCAGTCAGCCAGTCAGCCAGTCAGTCAGTCAATCCGCCAGTCAGCCAGTCATTCAGTCAATCAATCGGTCAGTTAGTCAGTCATTCAGTCAGTCAATCAGTCAGTTAGTCAGTCAGTCAGTTATCAGTCAGTCAGTTAGTTACCAGTCCCTCAGTCAGTCAGTCAGTCAGTCAGCCAGTCAGCCACTCACTTAGTCAGGCAACAAGGCGCTCGCTTAGTAATTTAGTCAGTTATTCAGCTAGTCACCCGGTCAGTCACGTAGTGATACAGTCGGCTAACCAGGCAGTCAGTCACATAGAGAGTCAATGAATTAGTCATTCAGTCAATCGTTCAGTCCTTCAGTCAATCGTTCAGTCATTCAGTCAATCGTTCAGTCCTTCAGTCAATCGTTCAGTCCTTCAGTCAAGCGTTCAGTCCTTCAGTCAATCGTTCAGTCCTTCAGTCAATCGTTCAGTCCTTCAGTCAATCGTTCAGTCATTCAGTCAATCGTTCAGTCCTTCAGTCAATCGTTCAGTCATTCAGTCAATCGTTCAGTCATTCAGTCAATCGTTCAGTCCTTCAGTCAATCGTTCAGTCATTCAGTCAATCGTTCAGTCATTCAGTCAATCGTTCAGTCATTCAGTCAATCGTTCAGTCCTTCAGTCAAGCGTTAAGACAGTCTGATAAGGTTTGTGACGGACTCTCCATGTTCATTTTATGAATAGAAATCTCCTGTTCAGTTTGGATGAAAACAGAGTTCGTCCGCAGGACAGCTTGTTTTGGATAGAAATGATGGGTAAAGGGCGCGGTAAGATGGACGATAGATGGGAATTTATACTAAAACACTGGAAAACTCTCGCAAGAAGGTAGGTTCGTAATTACCTACCATTTAAACAAATGTAGCTTCTAGAAGAATTAAAAAATTGGCAACCCAGTTGTCATGAACAATAGATCGCGTGATTCTTCTTGTTACTCACCAAATGCATTCATTAAAGCCTAGACTTTGGTTTCTTCATCCATGATATGTTTTTTCCTACGATTTCAATTTTTCCTCTGCAAAGTGTCAAAATAGCAAGAGAACTGATTTATTTTTCGAGGCAGGAGGGTACGAAAACAGGGAAATCCAACCCTTTATTGTCTAATTTCTTGCTAAGACAAATGCTTTCAGGTCATGCTCTTTCGCCATCTTTTCTTGTAAGGCTCTTGCCGAATCTCGCCATTTGCTTCTCTCCTAGACCCCTCTCCCATTTTAATTTGCCCTGTTTTTCGATTATTCTCCATGAATTATTTAGTGTCAACCTTGTCTTGGCGACGTGGTTGGCCAAGTGTCCATCAAGTAACACGCATGTAAGTGCAAGGCTTTTCGTGTGCAACAACATCTTCACTCACATGTAAAGTCATTCTCTGGCAAGTGCATCTGAACGCCCAAACCATTTATCTCCTCTTCCTCCCCTCAAATTATCGAGGGAGAGCTGAATCAGATCCACTCTTTCTATCATCTCTACAGGTCTTGCTGTATTTCATCAATGATCAAATACACATAACATAACGAACGAATAAATATGATTTTGGCACTTCGTGTTGTTCTTGCGAAAACTATAGTTTGAACCGTAAACAGGAGAAACAGGAAAGGACTTTAAGAAAGGGATATGATTGCTAGTGCGTATGTAATCTTTTGGTTTGTGTCCTGAACTGAATTTTACTTTTTATTAGATATGCTGGAAGCTACAAGTTTGGTAACCTTATCAAAGCGGTGGCTGGAAGTTTTCACTCAAAAGACCAGCTTAAAATGGCAAGTACATGAAATCGTTTCCCATCTTTCCACTTCCGTTGCATATTGTTAGCTACTCTATCAAACAATCGGTTAGGTCCCCTGAAGGGAACATACCCAACCCAACCTCATCAAAGAGATAAAATCATCGTTTACGTTCTGTGGTGTGTTCAGTGATCTGATATTTGAGGTATGATATGTAAGCAACCGGATAGAAGCTTTACTTTTTTCCTTGTGTATGATAATGGATATGAAGACATGATCACGCTTATGTCCTCACATCATGATTCATTTTGCTAGGTTAAGAAAACCTTTCAATCCTTAACTCCCGGGGAAATTGCTGTCAGAGCTCAAAGCCAGACCGTGGAGAAAATACAACATAATATTGCTGGTAACCCTGCACATCTTAAGACAAGCGAAAAAAGAATAGTCAGATGGCTGAAAGACTACAAACGAATTTCCTGAAACGACGTCAGAGAGTTATGGGAGTGAATCATTTTTTGAAAAAGTCCTTGAAGCGTAATGGGTACACTTGTTAAGTTTGTCCAAGTTTATGGTCACAGGGACAAACGTGTTAAAAGGAGACTCACTAATATCATATTTTCCCCTCTGGAGGATGTTTGTTTTTGCTAAAAGATCAGATTTTTGTGAGCAGAAACAAACTCTTATCGGTGAGTCTTTAGTCCCAATCTGAGGAGTTTCAGATACAAGCAAGGTTCAAATCTAAGGTGGTGTGTTTGGTCCACGATTCAAGTGGCTGTGAAGGGAGGTGATAGAAAATATACGGTAAAACTATCTACCTAACATTTCCAAGTTATCGCAAAAAAACTACACCCTACAGGAAGATAGAACATCTATGGATATCCGATAGGCTACTGTTCTCCCTTTTTAATTAAATCGTATTTTATCAATATTTCCATCACGTGCACTTCAAGTTTGCCATTACGAACATAATATTCATCCAGCAAACATAGTAAAACATATATCTGCAAGAAATTTGCACCGTTAAATCGTCGAGCTTTTGTTTGTTGCTAAGCCTTTTATTGTTTATTCCTTTTTCCTATCGTGTTTTGGTTCGTTTTCTCGTTTTTGCTTCGTCCGTTCGTTTAGGACTTCGTGCGTTTGTTCGTCCATTCGTTCGTTTGATTGGCCTTAACTTCGTCTGTTTGTGCTTTGGTTCGTCTCCTCGTTTTTGCTTCGTCCGTTCGTTGAGCACTTCGTGCGTTTGTTCGTCCATTCGTTCGTTTGTTTGGGCTTCACTTTGTCTGTTTCTGCTGGGATTCGTTTCCTCGTTTTTGTGTCATCCATTCGTTGAGGACTTCGTGTGTTTGTTCGTCCATTCGTTCTTTTGTTTGGGCTTCACTTCGTCTGTTTGTGCTTTGGTTCGTTTCCCTGTCTTTGCTTCGTTAGTTGGTTCTTCGTATCGCTTATTCTTTCGCCAGTTCGTTCATCCGTACCAACCGTCTCCCTCTATTCAGACGCTTGCAACCTTGTTCTTTCTGTATACTTTCATGCTTTGGTTGGTCGGTGGTTGTCAAATCATAATAGCTGACCTGTGTGGGCAAGTCACAGCACAAAAGATTTTCAATCTAAAAAGTCAACAAAGCAACTCCTGCATGAATAGTTTAACTCACGGTTTTAAAATTAGTGTAGAATTGATTCTCTGCCGCTACTGTTGACGGTTCCGTCTTTTAAGGCATATGTCTGTTTCTGTTTGCACATTAGTCTCATCGAACCACTAAAATATTTTGTTCTAAATTACTTTTTTTTCGTAATAATTTTACCACGAGTTTGATACAATGAGATTGATTTATGATTTAGAATTATCCTGAAAGGAATAATCTTTAATTTTTTTGGTAAAGTCTCTCAAACCTCCTTACCCTTTTAGATTTACATGTAAATTCTCCTCTAAATTTCATAACATTATTATGGAGACAGGTGCTGAGAATAGACAACTTCATCAACCGGAGAGGGTAATATTGATTTTGTTCGGTTACAAATGAGAAATAGAGCTAAGGGATTGACGATCTCCTGACGATTCCTGACTCAGATCTTTATAACTAAATGTTAAGTAATAGTTTGTAGTTAAGAAAAGTGCATTCGGATTTACCAACACGTGAATGTTTTTAAAAAAACAGTTTAAACTGAAATACTCACAGCAGGAGACTTAGAAGAACTATTACGAGATTACTGATGCATTCATTTTTTTCTGCTCTCTATTATTCTCTTCTCGTCCAACATTTATCGACAGTCGAGATCTGGTTACTTAAAAGACAACATTTTCAAAGCATCAGGTAACGAATGTTCATGAAATATTACCCTTGAGTGTCAGAAATGACGTTAACGTGTACGGGCGAGTGTGATAGTTGAAGAACAGCTCTTTACACGGTCTTTCACTTTCAATAACACACTTTTGTTTCTTTCTTAACCCTTTCGCTTCTAAGATCTCATTAGTAATTCTCCTTACCGTCTGCCATACAGTTCTTATGATGATAATTCGGAGAAGTTGGTATTGGATCAACTTATGATCCCCTAATGGATATTTTTCATACTTCTCATCACTTGCCAGTTGATATTGTATTGATATTGTAAGGAGAAATTCTCTCTTGGTCACTCATGGGAGTGAAAGGGTTAACACCTCTATTCATTTTATTGAATATTAGTTTTGAGAATCTGGAGTTGCATCAGTTCAGTCTTGCCTCGTCGATTCCGTTCGTTGTTCTTGTCGCCTCTTTGCTGTAGGCTGTATCCAAGAGTGATATGAATGGTACCAATAAAGTTATGTCTGAAATCACTACTACACGTTAAAGGGGCTTTTAAAGAATTCGGCTTTTATTTTTCAATTACCTTTCCCATTATAATCACACCGGCTCTTATCCTCTACTATTAAACTTCTTTAGCAAACTGTTTTTCATAGTTAACAAACACTTTTAAGATTATTGCGAATTTGGTTCGTTCCAACGTTTAGCATGCACCGCTCCATTTTGCAGGAAGATCGTTACTCTGTAACACGCCACCATTTAGGTCATTCCATTATGTGAAGCAGAATATTTGATCTCTATGCTTTTCAAGTTTGCTATACAATCTTATTGTACATATATGTTATATTGCATTGTTTATTTTCTAAATTTCGCGAAAGAAAATCTCACTGGTTTGCCGCTTTGCTAAGCAGCGATTTCAACGGTGTACAAACATAGACTTGAACGGAAAAAAGAGGTTCATAAGATGAGGAAAAAATGCGCAGAAATGTCTCTTAAAACGTGCTCGCCTGCTCTCCGTACTAGAAGATCTATTCTTGCATTTGTGAAAAGCATCTAGCACTGACACGGTGAATGGTTTTTGCAGTTTGTTTCGAACTTCGTGTTTTCCTTAATCACTTCAAATGAACAATGTATCTGTATGTCTCGCTTCTTTGCTCCCATAGCCGAGCTTTTGTCTTGTTAACAAACTGACAGAGTTCTTTCAGTTATGCAATTCTTCTTCGTTCTCACCCTCCATCTTGCCTCCCGCGGCGAACACGGGATCGAGGAAGCCATTTTTTATTTTATCAATCGGTGCTCCACTTCTAATCAAGAGTTCCGCACATTCGAAATTTCCGCTGATAACAGCAGCTTCTAACGGAGTGAAGCCCTCCGAACACTCCAGAGTCAAATTCGCGCCATTCTCGATAAGGATCTGCGCGCACTCTACGAAGCCTTCCGAAGCAGCCTCGTGAATCGGTAGCCTTCCGATGGAGTTCGCTTGATTCACGTTGACGTTTCCCTCTCGCAGTATCTTGGCCAGTTCCTCAGTATTGTTTTCCATCACGGCGGAAAGAAGTAAAATCTCCGGACAAAACGACACGGCCCTCGGAGGTTTTTGGCTTTCGTCGGGGCTTGCGAAAATCGGCATTGTTTGATATCTTCTTCGTACTACGTCGTCAACACTTCGGCGACTTCGCACGATAGCTTGCGTTAGTTCCTCCCCAGCTGAAATCTTTCTCTCTCTTGGTGCCGACTCTTCGGGTTTTGACCCATCCTCTGCTTTCGAAAGCGCTTCGTCCGGGCAAGAATACTTCCTCTTCTTCAGCTGCCCCCTGAACGACATTTTCCCTTTAATTACCTTCATAATAACCTCCCGTGCTACTTTATCAGGGAATCAAACAGGTGAACTTCCTGTAAACTGTGCGGACGATAGAGTGGTTTGCAAGGCGAGAATCTGCTAAGCTGCGAAAGACGATTTTGCGAAGCTTTTTTTGTGTTGATAACGATGTGAGCTAAGTTAGTAGGAATCTCATCACGCCCTTTAAACTAATAACAGCAATAATGTCAAACATCTAGAAAAAGCACTCAAAACGCAATGTCGGTAAAAACTTAAAAACAGAAACAATTGAAAATAAAGAATAGAGCGACAGGAGGGCGCGAGACTCCATTTGATACTTACATGCCCGGGGGGGGCTTATCTGAACGGACCTAATAGGGTAGCCATAACGAAAAGGACGTCTTTCTGGAGCTGGCATCATACACAAGTGGACAGGGATAACATATTCCATAGATTTATGGAAAAAAACCGTCATTCAGATATTTTAAAGGGTTTAACAGTTGTTTTAAAAAGTTGCTCAGGAGGAAACTGATTGAAGTCGTTCAGTTAGTAACTTCAACGCTTATTTCTCTCTCTTTGGTTTGTCATTTAAGGACTTCTGTAGCTACACCAGAGGAGAACTGTCTTTTTGTTTTTGCGAAAGTGTACGGTGGAGTACTCTCTAACAAAACGTTGTTTGGTACCCCCCCCCCCCCCGGTTTACTAGCTAATAAGTAATTTGCTCTGTAGTAAACAAAGACTTCCCATATAGGGACGAAGACATCGTGTCGGAGCCCCTGCTGTGATAGGAACAACTCACACTCGCGTGTTTTCTAAACAGCCATTCGTAAAACACATGAAAGTAGTTTGATCACTGAGTCGGGTTCTGTAACGCCCCGTTATTGCAATGACACTTGGCTTAATTGTCATTCAACAAAGAGTCTTGCGGTTTTACAGGATAGAATTAAATGCAATTTGCGGTTAGCCTGTTTAAAGTTTTTTTCTCGAAAGAGTGCGTTTATTCAATGAGGTTTTTTTCTTTGTTCTTTTATCAAGGACAAGCTCGTTCTCCATCGTTAAGCGTCATAAAGAGTTATCTAGAATGATCAATAAACTGCACCCTGTTTATCGTTTGTGGTGTTCAAAACTGTTTTAAACAAGAGTAAACACTTACACCAAACATTCTGTTCTAAGACAAATGACCTAAAATAGAAATGATTCTCAAAGACTGGATAATTTTCTGCAGGTGAACGGAGTCAGTCGTCCACTGATAAGACTTACAGGTTGCGACTGTGAAAGGTCTCGGAATCCACCCTCAATCTTCAGTTTGACTTATGAGACTGTAAATAAATGTTTGGGAATACGTGTTGAAGTATTTTGTTCACTTTGTGGCGTAATCGATGGCTGTTAATAGCTGATGTCTAGTGTTGATAAAATCTAAACAAAAGCCTCCGTAAATTTAATTACAAAACACGTCAGGCGAAAGAATCTTTGCTTGCATTTCATTACATCAGAAGGTTTCATTGTTGCAAAATTTTTTGTTTGTCTCAACCGCGTTGATGATGTAAAACACTTTAACATAATGAGCTCAATTGATAAAACCAAATAATGTTGTGATATACCCCACCGACGTAGCACCACAGTTTCTTCAAAAACGTACACCTTGGTTTCATCGGTAGACTGCCTTTATTTCCAAACTCTTTCACAGTGATTTGAGCGAACGCTGTGAACGATAAGGAATCTTACCTCCCTCTAACAAAAACTGTTCTTGGGTTTGAGTGGACGCTTATTCGAGGGGGACACTTATTTGAGGCTGGTTGCTTATTAACTTTTCTCCATTTTCAGAAAGTAGTAAGTTTATTTTGCAACAAAACGATAAATGACTGTGAATATATGAAAGTCATGTATGTAAACTGCGAATGAAGACGTGAATGTGAAAGCGATCTTCGCAGTAAAGAACACTACTTGAGCAGTAGTGAAAATAAGGCCTGAAATAATAATAAAACGTGAGGCAGAATTTTTACTGTTCGATCAAAGTTTCTTTAAAATGCCAAGAGAACTCGCTCCTCGGGGAAGTCTTTTAGTAGCACTTACTGAGGTCAATTAAGGGGTAGAGGATAGGGAGAAATCTCATACCCAGATCCTACCTTGTAACTCTGACTGAAATGGAGGACCGCTTGGCCGTGAAAGGTCTGGGTACGAGACTAGGAAGCGGATGAACGCTTATTTGAAGATGGGCGTTCGTTAACTTTACCCGCCTATAGAATAAGTGCAAAAATGAATGAATACCTTAAGTACTATTTTTTCAATCGTTTTTTCTTCAGTTATCCCTTTCATCTCTCTAGTCTCCAATTCTACGCTATAATCGTGCCGCACAAGAAATTTTAGCGCTCATATCAGTGGCAGCCTAAGACGAATCGAGCAAGTTCAATCAACAGAATAGATAGATAGATAGATAGATAGATAGATAGATAGATAGATAGATAGATAGATAGATAGATAGTTTATTATCAAATAAAATACATTGCAGCCATAGGCTGAATTGCGTGCTTTTCACAATCATTGATTATATAAGACTATATAATGGACTACCTATTACAAAAATGCTAAGACCTAAATAAAATTACTAATATAACTAATATAGCTAATATACAGCAGTGGAATAGCTAAAAATCTAGGTTAGCACACGCGCACATAGCCGGGATAAATGAAAATTTGAAACGGTCAGTGCGAAAGCGCGGCATGTTAAAAACGCGCCGGTGTCTAGTATTGTAAGCTGAAAAAAGCCTATCTGGCAGCAAATTATATAATTTGTGAGATGGATTTGAGACAGACAAAAACAGATCCGTACATAATTTCATGCGTCTGTCATAGAGCGAAGCTAAACCGTGCCTGTCTAAAGAGTCATGGTATGACAGTTCTGGTGAAATGATGGATAATGCGCGTCTTTGGACCCTTTCAATGTCATCAGTAAGATACGCAGGTAACGCATGATGGAATATTTGTGTGCAGTATTCCAGAACAGGACGTATAGTTGTACAATAAAAATTAATTATGTCATCCGCTGGAACGCGGGCTCTCTTCAGGAGGATCGATAATTTTCAACACAGCCGGACCGATGAACGCAGATACCACGAAGTCTTCGGCTAATTTGGAAATTATTGGTGTGAGGGAAATGGGTCGTAAGTGCTTGTTGATGACTTCGACAGGTTTCTGTTTAGGAATGGGTACCACATCCGCCAGCTTCCAAGATGGGGGAAGTTGTTGCTCAGCAAAGCTACAATTAAGGATGGAAGTCACTGGCTGAGCTATAAAGTCAGCATATTCCCTAAACACCCAACTAGGTATCCCATCGGGACCCGCAGCCTTGCGGGGGTTCAACTTTCTGATTGCGGTCAAAACATCGACCTCAGAAATGGTTACCACCGCCGAGTTCGCTTCGAAGGGTGGAATAGCATCGAGTGGCGAGAAAGACTTCATTTGGTCCAGAAAGGCAGAATTGATGGCATTTGCGACATCACGGTCTGGAAGATGGTGATCCAGTCCCTCAACGTGGAGTAGCGAACGCAGATTGTCAGAACCTGATGCAGGAGTCATCCCAGCGATACGCTTGACCTCCCCCCACCATTGGGAGGGCTTGGTGTTCTTTAGATGTTTAACTTTAGAAGCAAAAAACCTCTCACGAAGAGCTTTCCGCTCCCGGTTGACAGTATTTCGAAGGTGACGGAAGCTGGCTAAATCCCCTGACATAAAAGCTTGCTGACGCTTGGCGATTAGAGTCTTAAATTCAGGAGTAATCCACGGAGGGTCATTAAGATGAACCTTAGATTTCACTGCGGGCATGATAGCGTCCAGACCTGCGGTGATGATGTCACACAGTTGTCTAGAGCGATCATCAATATTAGGGGCAGAATCCAAAATGGACCAATCAACGGCTGAAAAGAACCGTCCTAGTTCGGCTTTCCTACTAGCACGTGTGTCACGCCTCGAAATTAACTTTCTGCTAGGCCCAGCGCGGGATGGCCTCTTTTTAGTGCGGACGATGACCACGTTATATAACGTTATATATAAAATGTTTATATTCTTTTGGTTCAATGTAGGAAAACTGGTGATGAGAACAGCTAAGTTATCAACCGGAGTGTTGGATTTTGATAAACAACTAACTCTTCACTCTGATGCACTAGGAATTGCACGGCAGCAAACGTAAAATTCTCCACACAGTCTTAACCCTTTAACTCCCATGAGTGACCAAGACTGAATTTCTCCTTACAATATCAATACAATATCAAGTAGACAAGTGATGAGAATAAAGAGAAATGTCAATTAGGAGATTATTAATTGATCCTGTACCAAATTCTCTGAATTAACATCATAAGAATCGTACAGCAGACAGTGAGGAGAATTACAAATGAGATCTTGGGAGTGAAAGGGTGAATAAGTTTCGCAAGGCTTGCGCAACCTTTTAGCGCAGGAATGTTGCGCGCACGAGCCCGCACTTCTCTCTCCGAGGACCGGAGACTAAATCGGAGAAAGTGGGGGAAATGAATTGGATGTCTTATAGTGTTAGTAAAACTGTTAGTCCTAGTCCCTATTACTGCCGTTCATTTGGAACGTCACTCAACACTTTCCCGATGCTGTAAGGGAGCGTTGCGAAGGTGACCATCTTTCTCCTCACACTAAAAATTTGAGCTAATGATTCTATGGCAAGGTTTACGTCGTATGTTATGCAGGGCATCTTCGAAGAACCCGGTTCGTGCGTTTTGAGAAGTCAGCCTAATTTGTCATTTGCCATGTAAGTTTGCTAACCACGCCGGTCACGCTGTCATTCTTTTACTTTAAAACATGCGGGAAACACATTTTCGCTTTGAGTAAGAGACCTTAGGCAGACAGGACGGCAACACAGGGGAAAACGTCGACAAAACATGAATCAGTATGAATAAGCAAAAGGCAGGATGTGTTTACCGTCTTTAACAGCGCCACACCCTAACTGCAGCATAACATAAGTGAGCAAATGGAAACGTAAATGATTCGAAGTTCGAGATTGCTGTTGTTTTTCAGAGGACGGACGGAAAATGTACAGTGTATTAAAAAGCACGTGCTGAAACTTTTTTTTGCTTCACGTCCTTCAGTTTTCAGACAAGCGGACGCCAGGGTGTGGGGAGCGCGAGGCGCGGGTACCACGCGAGAGGAGAAGCGTGTTTACTTATGCTGGACTCAAAAACTCAAAACAAATAACTTTCTTCCTTCAGGATGCTCTTTTAATGACAAATGACTTCTGAAAATGTTGTCATAATCACAGGCCATGCAGGAGATTTTGCGATTTAGTAAGGTTGATTAAATAAACCATCTTACGAAGGAGCAGTCAAGCGGAGGGAATTCCTTTCCCATCTTCTTTTCTTACTTAGTCTGTTCTTTAACGCACAACCAATGCTACGACTTCATTCGAACTTCTCTTCTTCTAAGAAAGAGTTATTATTATATCTTTGTGTTTAAGCTGAACCTGTTCTCTTCTTTATGTCACATTACTGGACTAGACGAAGCAAATCATTGTGGAGGTCTCGTTATTTTGATTTAACAGAGGGAATGATTGTCTCAAAATCTCTATAACTTCCGGCGCAATTTTTTCATATGCCCATCTGTGTACATCTTACAGAAGGAAGGGTCAAGTTTATTGTTACATATCCGTTTGAGACAAAAATAGTATCTTGGCGACTAAGTGATTATTGTAGTATCAAAAAGAGAGAATCCTCCAAAGTGATAAGGTTCTCTTCGTTTGGTTTACTTTTGCTACCTCTTAGATGCATGTCTACCCTGAATGATTGTCGTTAATCCTCGAATCAGCACCTCCTCTCCAATCAGAAGCACTCCTCTTATAATAAACGCCCCTCGTATCGGCCAAAAATCTTATGTATCGCTTCCTCGAATAATCTTATCTCGAAGTAAGCATCCCATGTACTAATTTTTATAATTCAAAGATTTAGGGTATTTTGGGTTATCTCTATCCGCCCTAATGTCGGTAGAGGGCGTGTTAAAGTTGTGTCTGCGAATGATATGAATTACCCTTTTTTAGTATCTTCTTGGATACCTGCTTTTATATATAGCAGTATGTTCTATTTTAAAAGTATAGTCTGTTCTTAGACTTTCTCGACCACAGTGCGAGTTTTGATACCGAAAATATAATGATATCCGGTATGGGAGATAATCCATCGTGTCGGGAAAGTTACGTTAATTAACAGAAATTCTTTTTGGTAAAACAAGACATGCATCGTAAAATTCCATCAAAAGCTGCCACATAATAAACAACATGCTTTGTCCTCGCTCTGACGGCTTTGACTGAGTACAGCTGCCCCTTCCCCTGTTTTGTTCGAGGTAAGAGGGCGGCTGCTCACAAGCACTAATTGTTCTCCTAAACGAGCTATAGACATTCAGAGGATTAAGGTACGGAAGGAGTAGGAAACTAAATGATTATCGAAATACGTTACTTTGACACATGTTTTACTCAAGTATTCTAGTTCATTTTACTATGCCTTGTCTCGAACTGCCTTAGTGCGATGTTACTGAGTATTTCTCAGTGAATTCCTAAAGGAATTAACATTGCATGGAACCCCTCACTGGGGACTGTTGAGCTGAATTCAACGAAAACTGCACTCAGGTGTCTTCACACAAACATGTTACGTCGTGTTCCTTGCTAACTTTTGCTATGTTTAACAAGAGAATATTTAAACAGTTTATGTTCTAATGATGAACGAACTTGCTGGGGAATAAGAGTGATCAGGTATCGGAGACCTAAATTGCTGAAGAGGAACTCGTACCTTTAGCCGTTCATGTTTACAATCCGTCCATTCAACATGATTTTCCTCTTCTCAGAAAAGCAAGAGAATCCCATAAAAGATATATATAATTTTGTCGATATATGTTCACACTACAATGGTAAAACGTTACGGCCTTTAGCTTATCTTCCCCATCCCCCCACCTCCTCCTTCGTCTTCTTCTTTCCCCCCCCCCCCCCCCCCCAACATGACACTGAGAAAAAAATGGAAGGCCAGGTCACTTTCCAGCATCAAATTTTTTAAATGCTAAGGATTAAGATACAAAGGGGGGAGAGAAAAAACCCTAGTCATAACACGTTTGTGTTGGTGAAAATTCGACAGAATAACTAACCCAGCAAAATATGTATTGTAGGATTTGAAATGTTGCAATTTTCAGTCTCACAATACGCAATGCTTAACAGTAAGAGGTGATTATTTTGCTGTGAGCATATGCTTTCAAAATCCTTTCATTGCTTTCATTCCTTTAGGCGATCAGCTAGAGTGGATTAGTGCAGTTAAAACCTCCAAAGAAGATTTTTCTGTGAATTTTTGGTGCGGATGAATAAAAAGCGATTTAAATTCTAAAGAACGCGACGTATTTTTCTGACCCTGAAACCTTTTCACAGAACGGCGTTAATATCTTGTGTCATCGCAACCTGCGAGTTGATGCGTCTTTTTCACCTTTGCCAGTTTATCTACGTCTTTTCCTGTCGTCTGGAGATATACAGTCGAATTCCTCTTATTTTGCGACAGCTTTGGACGATTGATTGAAGCCATATTTTGTTTGTATGCGTGGTACCAACCTCATTCTCAAGTTCCCTCTTTGGAAGGGAAGTACGAGGTTGGCTTGGTACCAACACCGCCTTGGTTGTCAAAATAGCTGAAGGTCGCTTACTACTTTTTTTAACCTTGTTTAAGTTGATTTTTTGAAATTCCGTTTTGGCTCTTTTTATATTATTTAATTTTCGAATCTCAGTTTTGTTTTTTTTTAATGAGGATGTTAACCAGAGATTTACCTCTCGGAATGTAACTGCTCCTTATAATATCCACACATTAGCCTGCACTGACATGTAATGTGAAGGTACTCAAACTTATCATCGTTTATCAGGTAGAGGTTTTTGTTTTGATCTAACACCACATTCTTGTAACTAATCAACAACGAAACGTGCCACAGCTGGAGGGGAGAATTAACAATCAGATCTTAGGTGTTAACATGCATGTCAAGACTGAATAAATGGGGTAAGTTTCTAAAGAAACTGTGATGCTGCGTCGTTGGGAGAGTATAACAGGGTAATTTGGTATTATCACCTGAGTTGATAACTTAAATCGGCCACCGTAAAGAGTTTAAAGGGTGATATTCCGAGTATTAGCCCTTCGTCAGGGCGATTGACGAAGGGCTCACGCTCGAAACGTCAGCCTTCAAACTCTTTACGTTTACTAATTTATGTTATCATCTCAGTTGATAGCACCAAATCACCATGTCAAGACTGAATTCTGCCTATCGGGTGCCAGTTTGAGTCATTCGTATGTAAGAGCAGGACCTTCTCTTTCCACTTTTATCGCCATGCGCCTCTTGATATTTGAGCGTCCTCTTCCTTTGGCCTTATTCCAGTGGTTGTTGGATTCAAAACTCATTTGCTAACCAGTTTTCTTATAACCTAACCACAGCTTATTGTCGAGAAAGTTTTAAAACATAAGATATCTTTAAATAGACCATACGCGGCTATAATTATAAGCAAAAATCCAAGAAGATAAGTCTTAATGTATACTAATCTCTGTTACCTTTGAAGCCTTCTTAAGTCTAACAGCGCATCGTCCACTGTCAAGTTTTCTTGTGATTTCCGTTAACATAGGGAGCAGAAGTAATACGATGACCTACGCGACATGCATGCCTATAATCTGCAAAAAGCTTTCCAAAAGTCTCATATACTTTCATTAATTTAGTGCCAAACCCGTTTTCCGAAATCCAAATTCAGTTTCCATAATCCCCAAAAGGTCGTTCTAGAAATGCGAAATAATTAAAATTATAGGGATGCACCCCAAATTATTACGGTAAAATATCTGAGCGGCACTTTAGAATAGCTAGAGACACAGATATCGATCCACTCAGAGTTGGTCGCTGTAAAAACTTTTCTAAAAATTCTATCTGAGATAAAGATGAATGGAATTTTCTCCTCGTGAAGACGGTCATAAGACGAGCTTATTTTACGAACCACGAAAGTTGCCAAAACTTCAGACAATGTTTTCAAATATTTGACCTTCTATAGATTAAACTCAACCAGGTTACCAATGTTTGTTTTTCTCGATGATGGAAATTTTTCCTTCCTAGGTAGGAAATTACTGGTTTACGCGATAGCCATATCCTGATATGTGGAATCTATTACTTTTTAACCTACCAAATAATGTAAAATTAATCGTTTTTTCACAACAAAGAGGAATTGCATTTCTGTAGATTGGATTGTGATCGAAGTATTGGGATATATTTCTAATTCTCATAACCTTTTTTAAGTTTTTCGCTTTTCGGTGTCATTCTCAACAGAATCAATCTTGATAACGTCAAGAGAATTCCGCATAGCACTGAGACCGACTGATATAACAGGTCAATTTGTTAATGGCTGTAGGTTCACTGTTAACTGATATCAATTTGAAGTTTATCATTTACCGCACTTGGGTTGTGATAACAGGGAGAAATATCGATCAAGACAGCTATACAGATAATTGTTTCTGAGCCATCATTAAAGTAAAGTTGAAGCAGTGTGAACGACAAACTGTTACGGGGCAAAATTATTCAAAAATTTGAACCGAACAGGTGACCTGCATCTTGAAACTTGTCGCCATCATAACTTCAAAGTATTCAGTCTTCAATCACACCACCAAAAGGTTGGAAAGTTTTTATTTCAGTGCGTCTTTCAGTAATGAAAAATTTTATTTCCACAGCTAACTTTCGCTTAGTTTCGCCGGTCAAACTGGAAACTTTCAGCATGTTTAAAAATCTCTACGCTAGATTGTGCTCTCATTGAGAGCAATGAACTGGCAATTCTAACTCATCATCAAACCTCAATGAAAATCTGTCTTCAAGGCTAACACAAGGGTTTGAACTTTTAACAGCTCTCGTCTTCAATTTCTCACGGTACCTAATGAGATTACTATATCACTGTTCCGCTGTTATCATTTAATCAGTCGATCAGAGAAGACATTTTATTTAAAATATCATATTAGCTAGAAATGTAAATTATTGGCTTGTTTTCGGGATTTCTCTCACTCTTAAAGAAGAATTCATCTGACAAACATCGCACGCATCGAAGGTATGAGATTACGGACTTTTTAAGTTAATGTCTACGTTTTATAAAAGGATAAGTCATCAACGTTCCTTTTTTTTTTTTGAACGATTGAAATGTGAAATATGTTTCCCAATGTCAAAGAAGACTAAACAACACTTGAGATTTTAAAATAAGCTAATCGAGGTATTGTTCTTTCCAATTAACAGTTTCATTTAACATTGACAACCACCTACAGCTCGAAATCAGTCCTTGCCTGAATTCCATTTTGGTAGAATATGAGATTCACTACGATTTAAACTGAGGAGCGCGGTGTTGAGACCTGAAGAGCTTTGATTTGCTTTAATCGCTATCACGAACGTTATAAAGATTAAATAACGATGCTTGTCTAAGTGGGTACCAAGGGTAGGTTCTCACTTGTAGAAAAAACGTATACAGCCACAGTCTAACATTCACTCGGCTAGCTGCAAAACGCTTTAAAAATGATGTCTCATTAGGTAAAAACATTACATCTACGAGAGAGTTAACAGAGTCAATTTTCGTGTATCATTGCTCATTAAGACAGCTACACCGTCATAAAATTACTTCTCGGCTACATTGCGCCGCTAAATGTCGTTGAGATCTTCTTTTCAACGAGGGGGTCATTGCTGAACAGAAGCTGGAATTTTCAGTTTCTAAACTTAACATTATATACTTGCATAAAATCTAATTCAAGTCCTGAATAATACATACAATCGTGCATGGCACGCGCCTATTTTGGACTGGAGATCTTTCGTACGATCCTTGACCTCAATTTAAAACCATTCCTGATGTCTTCTGCTGAAGCTCCATGCCTTATCAGTAACTCTGCGCACTCAAAATTTCCCGTTTCCACTGCTATATCGAGAGGCGAGTAGCCGTCAGCATTCCGCACGTTTAGAGTCGTGGCCTTCTCTATAAGCACCTTAGCGCAGTCTGTAAGCCCTTTAGACACGGCATCGTGGAGTGGGTAGATTCCTTTCGTGGCTAGCGACTGTAAGTCCGCTTCCCCAATCTTTATCAACTTGAAAAGCTCGGGAAGTTCTTTGCCTTTGAGACCTGTATTGTACAAAAGAATCTCCGGGCAGGACGACTTTCTGTTCCGTATCCTGTTTATATCGACCCGTTTGTTGAGTGTCTCTGGGAGGGCCACAGTGTTTGTCCTCTTATGAGGAAGCTTGCTCCTATTTTTCAATCGTTTTTCAGGCTTTTCGTGCTTAACAGCCTTGTTTTTCTTTTGGATACTTTTCAGGGGAATCATCCTTTATCAGAGACACTGGCTTCTTGCTGATCCAATCCGTCTTAGAGTATTACAGAATAATACTTTTCAATCCGTTACTGCAGATAGTTAGACGTCAAACCTGAAACAGACAACTGTTTCTCGTTGTGCTTACTTCGAGACTGCGCCCGGTTGTCGGTCAAATGACTTCACAATAGGATGTCATGCAATATAAGGACAGAGGATTGTACACCTGATATCAGAGAATGCCAGCATGACGTGGTAATCTTTTCATCGCATTTCCAGTTATGACTGTTTATTTGTCAAAAGTACCCCTCCATTTAGTTAAATAGAATCCCTGACGACAAAAGTTATGTCTTTCCAAGCTAAGGTTTTTTTATGCTTCCGAGCCCCACCTCCAAACGTTTTAACACCAAAAATGATTGTCATAACTGGGCGATTCGTAACAGCCCGAGGAAGTAATTAGTGCAAAATAAACATATACTTTGCACATTGTCCTTAAAGGGCCATCTCGTCTTGACAAACGGGGAATGTTGATAACCCTTATCTGTTTATCAACAGCTTCTCTGCACACCTGATACATCAGGATGTGACGAAACTTTACCCTTAAAATACCACTCTACACATGTGGCTTTTTTCCGTAGCGAACGTTCTCCGTGTACTTTAGATCCTTATTCGCTCTTATCTTAAACAATTCTGATCTCAAGCCGAAGTAAACCAACGTCAGTAACAGTGTCATTTCACTACGATGTTTCATAGTTTCACGAAACACCAGATTTTTGCTCAATTTAGGGTGACCTTGATGAGAAGCGGCGGGGCGTTTGGAAATGTTGAGAGGCTAATCGTTCATCAAGACAAGCGCATTCTTCTACTAAATTTCTCAAAGCGTTAATGTATTAAGTGGTCTGTTCGCACGAGCGGCGAAACTCTCTCCAATCCTACCAATTTTTAGTGCGTCCGCGACGTATTTTCGAATTGTTTCGTCATGTAAGGGAAATCAAGTAGAAATTTCTAATGATAATATCACGAGACAGATCATGGGACTAGCTATTTTGATATGCTAAATTTATGTAAGCTCAATTACCAGCCGCTGTTCAAGAGATGAGCCTGTGCTCCTCTGCGGGAGGAACAAAGATTTTTATGCTGCGCCTGCGATGTTTTCCGCACTGAAAAGGCTGTGCTCTCCAATTTCCTTCTTAAGGGACATGGCCCCCTTACCCTGTCCGAATTATCAAGTTTTATTTGGCCTAGTGTGTGATAATACTATACACTGCGGGTGAGCTGAAGGAAATGTTTACCTTTAAGAAAGTTAAATTTTCCCTAATGACAATTCACTCTTCAGGGCATTTACTGTGGATCGATTTATTACTGCTCTTTCCGTTGTCGAGTCATTTACACCCCTCAAATCTCGTCGTCGGAAGAATATTTCCTTTCACTTGAGTTTGTGTTCTAAATTGGTCCATCCGATCATGCAGAAGACATGTTATGACAAACATGTCACGGTTTTTTTTTTCCATCTTCCTGGCTAGGCAACTTCGGCGTATGAAAAGGGGTCAGCGATTTCTTTAGAGCTAAAATTGTGTTCTCTTTAGAGGGCTACAGTGCTCCAGTATGGTAACGTAGATCGTACGGGAAAATACCATAAGTTGTTAACTGAAGAATGAAAGTATGGTTGTAATGATCCCCCCCCCCCACACAACTTGGAATTTAGTCCAGAAGACATTAACTAAAGGAGAGGGAACTTCGCCGAATAACGCCTATTCTTTTACCAAAATATAATTTCTTCTTGTTCTCGAGGCAACCCATCCTCTTACCTGAAGCCTGGCACAGGAACGGCTGTAAGATGTGCAAGACTTTGCTGGACATCATCCCCCGGCAGTCATGTTCCACCCTCTCCACCCTCCCCTTTACCTACCCTACCCTCCCCGAGATTACAACTTCGAATCAGTATTTTGTCCGGGTTCACACCAAAGTTAGCAAAGCCCCGCCGGAGCTACGAATCTGCGTATTTCTAAGAGGGTCATCTTGTAAACAACCCAACTAGTCCATGCATTTTGAGGCCCAAGACTTGTGTGCCAACATTATCAGTATTTCATGTCGTAACAAGAGGAAATGACACAGTGGTTCATTGTGTACAGTGAATAAAGGGGGTAAAGTTTCTAGGGAAACTGTGGTGCAGCGTCGTTGAGGGCGTATAACAAGATGATTTGGTTTTAATTTATCAACCGAGTTGAGATTGTAAGTTGGCCACCGTAAAGATTTTCAGAAGCTGAAGTTTCGAGCGTTGGCCCTTCGTCAAAGCGGATGTGTACAGTGTGGTTAATTGTGTTCAGGTTTTTCGGACAGGTTCTCAGCAGGTTAATTTATTTGGATTTTACCTCATGCCCTAAGACATCTTAGAAACAGATTACAGGCGGAGGTAAAGCTGCATATAATTTTAAAGTGAAATTGATAACGGGAACACTTCGCTTTATTTTGCTTCCACGTGAAACTAACGTTGTTAAAAGAAGTCGAAAATCATCCCTTTTTACAAGTACCGCTTCTGTTCAAATATTGAAAAAATGCTTTAATACATGTGAAATTGTCGAGGAATCAGCACGGTACCCGAACTGACATGCTTTTCATCTGTTTTATTGACTCTTGTTTATGCCTTTATCTGTGTAGGTAACTCGTTGTCAGGGGTGACACGAAGAGATTTTAATCACCAGTCTTCTAATGATTCACATGTGAACGCGTCATTCGTCTTTGTCAAGTACAATCATTTTTCCTGAAAACTTGCAGCTCCCATGTTATTACATGAGCAATTGTCGAGGAATCAGCACGATACCTGAACTAATTGTTTATATGCTTTTCATCTATTTTATTGACTCATATTTATGCCCATATCTGTGAAGGTAACTCGTTGTTAGAGGTGACACAACAGAGATTCCAATAACCAGTCTTCTAATGATTCACATGTGAACGCGTCATTCGTTTTTTTCGAGAACAATCATTTTTCCTGAAAACTTGCAGCTCGCAGTTCCTGATCAAATATTAATATCATGAATCCTAGGGCATAGAAACATGTTACTTTCAAATTTTTCTACTGTAAAACTATCACTCATAAATTGTCTCTAACGCAAGAGAGAACGTTTCAATGAGATAGCCGGGATCACAAGGGAAATTTAGGTCTATATTTCCAGAGAATGACCATTGGTTCTATAATCAATCTCGTTCCCTTCTGCGTTAAAGTTTTGCAGTTATGATAAATAAACAAAAGAGAATGAATTTCGTCGAGTTTCTTCAATAAGTGAGCTTTGGATGACATGCTGTTTTTTTTTCTTAGCTTCCACGCAGATGCTCGGTCTTTTTCAGGAGGGGAGAATACTCAACAGTTTCACTAACAGTAATGCATCGCCCTTGGAATCTTGGAACAACTTCCCAATTTTAACTCCCTTTCCTTGTGTAAAATTTAACATATGAACCATGGAATCGTGTTTTTTTCGCCTTTTCCTGAACCAGACCTTATGAATTTCCTACACTTATTTATTTATTATTTACCGCCACCCCCCCGGAAGAACACAACTATTAGTCCGCTTAGACCGGTGCTGAACTGTTTAACGGATTTGCATAATTCTTAAAATCAGAAATATGTACGAAATTGAAACAAAAACAATCGAAATTCTCTACTGAATCGTCTTATGTTACATCTAACGTCTGTGCGAAGCCAAAAAAATATTTAAGTTTACAATTCCTACCTAGAAAGCAAGATGTTCGCACAAGGATGTGTTTTCCCTTATAAGATAATTTTTAGACATACATTCTTATACCAATTTATTATGCGTTTCTTTTTCTCTGGACTATAAGAAATTTGCATCACCAAGTGGAAATTTAATCGTTCCCAGAGTAAGAAGAGAACTTTGCGCCTTTGTTCAGTCACCATATGGGGCTGAGAGTGTGATTTCGAGCGACCAATCACATGTCGACAAATTATACCCTATGATTTCTTAGAAAAGGGGAGTGTTTCATTTCACAATCGATTCATCTTGCCTTAGCCTGCAAGGTTAGGATATTGGAAGGCGCTGTTATTGATCGAGGTTTCTTCTCAGCACTTGACCGACAAGATGTCTTCAGATTGGAGCAATGGCCTCTGTAGCTGCCTCAACGATATTCCACTTTGTCTCACAACTTATTGTGCTCCGTGTTACACCTTCGGCAAGACGGCCGAAGCGATGGGAGATGATTGCCTGATGTGCGGAGTGGTGACCTTCGTTCCGCTTGTAAACTTGTGGTTCTTCAGCCAAATCCGTGGCAAGATCCGTGAGCAGAAAGGAATCGAAGGTTCATTGGTTAGTGATCTTCTCCTTAGCTGTTGTTGTACGCTGTGTACTCTCGTGCAGAATGCCCAGGAAGTGGGAGTCAAAGCGCCGTTTGGAGCTTCCATCGCCAGGTCCTAAGTGAGGTTTCTTCCCAGACGTATCGGTTGAAGACCATTGAACAAAAGATTTGGTTACTCCTTGTTTCAAGTTTGCTTATTCCTATTTTCGTTTTTGTTCCTTTACTGAGTGTAGTATCAAATAATTTTTGACCTCTTCGGACTTGTCTCGTTGTAGCTTATAATCTTGCTGTACGCAATGACTCGTAATTGTATTGTGTATTTCTGTATTTCTGAAATCGTCGATCTATCGCACGCTTGATCACCTGTAGTTTTCAGTTAAAACATGGGTTTTACTATCGTAGACGCAATTTGGATTTATCCTGTTTATTAGGCCAGAAATGTTACTGTGTACGTTGCGAGTGGCGCGCCCAAAGTCGGTAAATCTTTGAGAAAGTGATTCCGAATTCTCTAAACGGTTAGCTGAAATACTCTCTCCTGTAAAAGTTGGTTTTTGTAACTTTAGTTACTGCATGCATTCTGAACCTTTGGACCGTGGACTGAGCTTAAATAGTTCTTTGAACTTTAATCTTGTGTACTGTAGTGAAATTAAAATGAATTCTTGTAGGGTTTATTTGGAAACTCGACCTGCAATATTATTCCTTCTACCCGTTTCCATTATAAGTTAAGCACGCTTAAACAAGCTAAAGCGAGAGTTTATGCTATTCACATTAAAGATGTCTCGTAAATTTGCATTGGTTGTGCACGGTGTGATTTCAATTACAGATAAGCTTTTTCTCGATCTCCTTTGCGGCTATGAAATGCGTCGACGTGGCATATGCAAGCGTAAAATTTAACTTGAAAAGAGTACGGGCTGAAAAGAAAGGGCGAGGTGAAACACAAGCATCCGAAAGTGAAACGAATACAGTCAAAACATCTTCTCA